ATCTCTTATTTCATTATTATTTTATTATTATTATTATTAGTAGTATGATTTTCTTTTTTATTTTTTAATTTTTTTCTTAATTAAATCTTTCCTCATCCTTCTCAATGAAATGATGATACATTTCTTTTCTTTTTCTTTTTTTTTTACGGGTCGAATTTGATTAAAGGGAGATGATTATTCACGAGGAGAGACGAAGAGACACGAGGGGTGGGGGGGGGGGAGGGAAGAGACGTTTGAAGAAAGAAAAAAAGAAATAAATATGTCGTGTATATAGAAATCGAAGCAAAACAAAATAGAATTGGAAAAGAATTTTCTGTTTAAGTAATAGTTTTTAAAAGAAAGAAAGAAAAAAAGAAATAGTAGTAGTATATACGTAAATTACGTTAAAGATAAAATAATAGGAAAATAAATAGAAAGGAAATTTAGTTCGCGTTATCTCTTCCTCGACACACACGCACACACACATACACATATTATATTATATTTATATAATGCGTCTTCCTTCGGTTGAGACGTAATTTTTTTTTTATCGTCTGCGAGAATGTGTAATCCACTTTGGCATTTACTCTCTCTTTTCTCGGCAGTTATTTCTCTCTCTCTCTTTCTCGATCATTTTCTCAATCTTTGTATTTCTATCTTTATTTTGATCTCTTACTTTTGTTTTCTTATTACGTACAAACACACACACACAGATAATTTTCTATTTCTCTTTCTTTCGCTCGTTGCACTTTTGTCGTTATCAAACCCAAAAAAAAGAATAAAAATAAATAAATCTTATGTTTTAATTGCACTTTTAAAAATAACGTTACACGTTCAGAAGAAAAGAAAAGAAAAAAATAAACACACACACAAGTTCTTCCTTTCCCACCCCCTTTTCTTTCCAACACACGCGACGCGCTCTAGGTGTATCATCCTTCTCGCTTAAATTTTAAATTACGAGATTAACCGTCCGGTGTGGGAGACAGTAAATGCCTCTTCCTCCCGTTCACCATACTGCTGTCTTCTTTGATTATTATTATTTAAACGGGCCCATAGGAACATATAGTAGTAGTAGCCAGTGTATTTACAATAGGGTCGACCGAGTAAAGTTTGACAAAAAAATAATAATAATAATAAAAAAAGAGAACCCAAAAAAATATAGAAAAAAGAAGAGTCAGCAGCAGTGTTGTGTCGAATATTATTTTCGAGCCAACCGTTCGAACGAATAACGTTTTTTTTTTTTTCCACACTCTTTTCTTCACGTACGTTCGTTCGTTCGTTCGTTCACTCACTTATATGTATATATATACATACATATATATGTATGTATTGTATACATGTATATATATACATATATATATATATATCCGCGTGTATATAAATGGATCCGACCGAACGCCCACGCGGAAGAAGTCTCGTTCTAGTTTCGTCTCTCGAAAGTGTCCTTGCTTTCCTTCGGGAAGGCCTTCTTCTTCCTCTTCTTTCCTTACCCTCACACACTCCCCACTTTTTTACTCTTCTTCTTCTTCTTCTTCTTCTATTTTCTCTCTCTTTCTCTCTCTTTCCTTTTTTTCTTTTTTCTTTGCATATTTCAATCTAATTAATTTTCTATTTTTTCATATCGTAGGCTTTATGACTCACAATCAGTAATCTTGTTTCTTTTTCTCTAATTTTTATTTTTATTCGTTTTCATTATTAGAGATACATTAATTTCTTTTTATATATATAATAATCATGCATATCTTCTTGAAGGTGAACAAGAGGTTTCCCTCTTCCTCCTCTTCTCCTTCCTCTCCTAATTCTTTTATTGAATTTCTTTCTCTATCCTATCTACATATTGTATCAATTATTATTCTTATTTCTCTACCTTTCTCTTTCTCTCTATCTTTCTTTCTCTTTGTTTATTTTTGTCTCTCTCTCTCTCTCTCTCTCTCTCTCTCTCTCTCTCTCTCTCTCTCTCTCTCT